AAACTGACTATACTTCAATTAAAAATGATAATAATCACTTAAAAGGGAAGAAGGGACAAATTGGGAGTTTGGGATTTACAGATGCTAACTACTATATATAAAATAGATAAAAAAAGAAACATGGTCTTACTGTATAGCACAGGGAACTATATTCAAAACTTTGTAATAGCCTATAATGAAAAAGAATATGAAAAGGAATATATATATATATAAATGACTGAATCACTATTCTGTATACCAGAAGTTAACACAACATTGTAAATTGACTATACTTCAATTAAAAAAAAAACTATGAGGTGGTTCTTAGTCTCCCGTTTTACAGATTAAGGAACTAAGGCTCAGACAGACCAAGTAACACACTGAGGGCTGAGATTCCAATGGAGGCTACAATTCAGATTGAAAACTAAAGCAGGCTTTTTCAAACCCAAGATCTTTCTCGTTTCATCTTTGAACCATTTTTAAAACCTGAAACACACACATACTCCCATGTGTCACGTTCCGAGCTTTAGTTCCCCAGGGCGACCATGAACTTCACTTACGCTACCACATGAAATCATCGCATGGCGACGCCAATGTTTCCCTGCTACTGCTGAGCACGTGTTTTGATTTCTTGTGAATCTGTCTCTGACCAAGAAGGCTGCACAGCTTCCCTGACCTTCCTTAAATTTCAGACCCAAGCTTGTCCCTGTGGTTTCACAACAGCAAGGGACAAGCCTCATCATGATCACATCTTTTTACAGTTTTATCAGTTCTTGTAACTCTGGGCACTTCCTGTCTGACTTTCCTGTCTTGAATGAGGAATGTGAGCAGTTGTTAGATATCAGTGATCTTCTTTGAAGCAAAATAAGGCAGAACAAAGCACTTGACTGTAACTGTCATCCACAACCCCCACGGTTTTAAATACTAGAGTTCCGCTGATCTAACTCCCATTCAGCCATGAAGTGCTCTTTTTAATATTGGAGTCTATCACCAGTTGAGCTCTGTATTGTATCTGTGTTAATCATTTTTAGAATTGATAGAAGTATTTTCTACTAATTCTTCTCTGCCAAACTCAAATAAAGAATTGTTTTTGTGTGGGGGGTCCTTCACTGATATTTCAAGCAGTGGTCCTCTCTGCTGTAAAGGGCACTGATTCTCAGATCTTAGAATAGATAAGGAGCACCCTGAAAATTTGGTATTTTCCCCTGGAACTCACTGAGATACCTAAGTCTATGGTCTGTGAGTTTTATGTAAAAGCCCTTTCCCCACTCTACTTCTTGCCCTGCCCTGCCTTTCTCAGAGGTCGATGATGCTCTGATCTCTGTGAGAGTTCATGGTCCTGCTAGCTCTCCATTCCATTAAGTGATTTAGAAAAGTGGGAACAGGAAAAGGAACAACAAGAGTCAATCTCTCTTAGGGACTGAGACTTGGGGTCCCTCACTTGATTATTGTTTGTGGTTTTTTAAACATTGGTAAATATGGACACCATTGAATGCAGGAATATGGTGGGAAGATGCAGTAATATGACCAACTTCAAACCAAGAAAAACAGGTGGGACCAAAGCTCAAAGCTCCAGGCTCCCTGAAACACGGAATAAACCAGCCACAGTTCTCCGGCATCTCAGGAGCACTGCTGCCTCAGGCAACTGAGCAGAGTAAGCTCAGTCCAGCATCAGCTCCAAGCTCACATCACAGGGGCTCCAGGGGGATGACTTGTAGGCACTTGTGTCCTGACAGCCCAGAACATCCCCGGGAGAGGAAACCATGGCATCCACTGAGCGTTTCCGGCACAGGCTTTCACACAACGTAGAGATCAGGTGAATTTACATGTCAAAAAAAAAAAACTGTACTTGTATATATCTCATGCAATTCCCTCATTGTGAAAAAGGAAGAATCTTTTTGATCAAAACAAAACTGTCTTACTTTCAACTCTTTAATCACATATGTGGTGTTCCAAAGAATTCCCTCCCATGACTTATGTCCAGTTGAAATGACATACTCCAGTCCATATAGAGTGCAGGGGGTACTGGGCTCAATAATCCACTGGGTTTCACAATATTTCATCTCACACCTGTATCAGAAGAACTTTGAGCACAAACATGCAATATGTTTATTTTTGTGCATAGCATATATAAATATACTAGATTATAAAATATTATGCACATTATAAAATATACATCCATATATACTACTGATAAAAATTTTTCAAGGAATAAGTAATCTGTGACAAAACTTTTAAAATTATACTTGTTTTTAGTACTAAGTGGGCATAAACATTTACCCTTGTTACCAAACCAAACTTGGGTTCACTCACCTGATGCACAGCAAAGCCACCCTGAAGCCGGGCTGTGGTGAAGGAAAGTACAGCACTTATTGCAGGGCACCAGGCTAGAAGAACAGGCAGCGAATATGCTCAAAAGACCCAAATTCCTCAATGGCTTTCAGGGAAGGAGTTTTAAAGACAAGGTTAGGGGTGTTTTTTACTGGGTTCCTGATCAGCTCATGCACAGTTCTCTGGTTGGTTGATGGTGAGGTCACAGGATGATATTTCCAGAATCAATTATCAACCTTCTGGTTTTAACCCATCCAGGGTCTATATGCTGGTGGTCAGCATGCAGTTAACTTCTTCCATCTGGCGGGGATTTTAGTTGCTGCAAAACAGTCCAAGAATGTGGCTTAGAATTTTATATGTAGCCCATGAGGAGGAACTAACAATCTTGACTTTGTTTTATGGCTAAATTACTATTATTTTGTCTTGCTTGACTGATTTCCTTTGTTTCTGCATTTTCTCACTTCTCAATTAAATTTGCCCTTTGGAACTTGGGGAAATCCTAGGAAGCTAAATCTTTTCTACAGACAAGAGGAGGGGACTTTGGGGAGGAAGGTTCTGTCCCCAGAAAAGCCCTGCAGGGTCCTGCTCAGTTTCACCCTCTCAAAGTATCATGATTAAATGATATGAAAGAAAATATCAACATTAAAAACATTCTGGTGAGAGGAATGTGATTAACAATGGGTCTTTTTTTTAACATTTTGGTTTGAAAAGCTGTAATGCAATGACTTGAAAGTCCGGGTGTGAGTGTAATACATTTCTGCATATTTTAATCATTAGTATGAGATTCATAGGCACAAAAATAGTCATTACTCAATTTTGATGGCTATGAAAAAACAAAACAAAACAAAACCTCGCCAGTATGCTGAGATGGAAATGGAGGAAGATAATTTTTGGCTGAGATATTTTCCCCAGTTCTTTCCAGGTTACAATGTTTCCATGTTGCTAAGAGGCACAGCCTTTCTCTCAAGAGTCACTTCCTTCTGATGTCCCATTTCTGTGATTCTATCACATATTCCCCTGAAGGGCTGGACAGGAAATGTTTTCAGATACTCTCACGTAGATTTGTCATTCCTTTCCTGCCATCCTCCTCCCAAACATGAAATCCACGTCAGTAGGTGGGTAATGTCTTTGAGGGTAGCCACAGGCCATCTGTTGGGAGGATGACCCCCTTCTGACGGAAAGAACACTGATTACTTTTTATTCACACAAGACACCAAATTTTGAAATTAATGAATGAAAAGGACAATTACCATTTTTGTGCCAGAATAAAAGTTTATTAAGAGGTTAACAAGGGATCTTTATTGCATCTCCAGAGACCAAAGGAGTGACAAGAAAGGTATCTTCCAATTATGTTCAGTTTCACAGCTTGCCCAATCAGTTCTATTGCACTTAATACAATTATTTTAAAACCACATTTAGATAAGTATTTGTTAAAGCATAACACATTATGTAAACATGTTGTTGTGATTATAGATAATTACTTGATCCTATTGTAGATTCTCTATGTGACTCAGAAGACAAACCAAGCCAGTAGGTGTACTTGGCAGCTTCTTCTGTTAAAGGATCAAGATGGGGAATTCAGTGGAAGCCCAGACGTGACACTTGGAAGCTGGTACCGATAGAAGTGTAGTCCCTGCTGGGGATGTTTGGATGAAGTAGAACTGAGATGTGACTTTGAAGCCCTTGTCTTCCTTCTGGCACTGGGGCCTCTAGCGCAGAAAAGTGTTGCAAGGCCCACACCGAGTGCGGGAAACACAAGGATTCGAGACGCAGGACCCGATGGTGTTCTCACATGCATTGCTTGTGGCACATGGGTTGCAGGGGAGCCTGGAGACAGAAAATCATTAGAGCAAGTTAAGATAAAGTCAGCTGAAGAGATAGGAAGTTCCTAAACACACTTTGCGTAAGAATATGGTACTTCCTCTGACTGCCTCCAACCCAAAGCTTGAAGCTATAAATTCATTTCCATCTTTCCATCCTTCCATCCTCATAGCAACTTCATGAGCCCCCAGGGGGAATATTCCTAGCCTCA